ATAAGGTCACTCTAACGATGCATGAATTATTAACTTTTTTATAATCTATATGATGTATTAAATTTAAAAAAAAAATCATTTTTGATAATTGAAATTTAGATTTATTATCTTATTCAAATGAATTAATCTTTGTGTATGGAACTAAAATAAAATTTTAACTATATAGATAAATTTTTTATCATATATTGATTGACGATAATGGTTTTTTTTCTTTCTTGAACATCTTTATTTAATTTCTATTCAATATTGTATTCAATTTTATAAATATACAAACATAAAATAAAACATATCTATTTTACTTATATTCATATAATTCTCTTTTCTTTATTAATTTCAAATGTCATGAGAAATGTGAATTTATTCTAAAATGTATTCTCATGAGAATGATTAATAACATAAAGAATAACTAGCTATTGAACAACAAATAATGATGTTCTGACTGTGTGATTGTTCGAGGAAAATTACGAATGCATATAGTTGAAAGAAAAAAAAAAACAACCAGTAAAATTCATAATAATTTATAAAAATCAGTCAACTTGAATAAGATAAGCATTACGGATGATGATTATTAAGAATTAGTTCTAAATTTAAAAAGCTATTTAAATAATCCTCACTATTGAAATCAAAAGAAATAGAATTGAAAAGAATATTATATGTTTTTAATGAACATGCTTTTCTTAATATATATTTAATTAAAAAATTGTAAATTCGCAATAAGAATTTGTTTCTTCTTGTTTTCTATATTCTATCAATATAATATGTGAGAGAAAAAAATTTCTTAGAAAACTTACTTACAAAAGTGATGCAAGGTGATCGATTTTTATATCGTTATCTTTACTTAATATTTGTCGTACACAATAAAAATCTTTTTTCCCTCATCGATCGAAAAAGAACTCTTTATTTTCTCTGTTCTGTTTTATTCTACTCGTTAGAAAAATGAAGCAATCTATTGTTCTTTACATAGATGTCGTCAATTACAACTTGCAATTAAAATGTTCAAGAAAATCATATTGTAAACTAGACAAAATAAAAATTTATACTACTCTGAAATGATTATTAGTAATATTTGTCTTTAATAATTATGAATAAAGACGTAATATGACTGGGCTCTCACGTAGGGGAAGAGGAGCTTCTGACTTAGTTTAGTGGTCATGCACACCAAAATAAAATATGTCGTACTTTATGACGCGAAGTGCTCGTTGCAACACATTTTGAAAAGATGATTCGAAGCAGAGCTGTCGGCTTGGTAGAAACCTGCCAGCTAAAGTTGTTGGCCTGGCTCTTGAGTTCATCGGACTCAAAATTTTCATATCCGGTTCCGGGATCAACGCAACGGACTGTACCTTGTTCTTACGTTTAAGAAATCAAATGTTGGCGCATCGCCTTAGTATTCGAGAGTACTTTGAAAAATTCATTCGAATCCAACAACAAATGCTTGAACCGAACGTCAATTTAGTATCGTAGGATCTAGATTGACTAACAGAAGAACTTGTTTAGATCCAAAACAATTGAATGATAAGTTTCGCGTTCATGCTGCGAAAATTAATTGTCAAATGGTAATCTTCTCATCTATTATTATAAGTATCGCTTATTTCCAATAGTTTGTGGTGCATTTTCTTTTATTTCTTCTTAGAACCCCTAATCAAATATTGTTTGTGCTATTATGATTGTAATTTTTTAACTTTTTGAAAACAGAATTGATATAATCAAAAACTTCGCGTTAATTGAAGGCTTTCTTGTAAGAAAAATTTTATATGGTCTCTTTGTTTTGATTTACTATTTCGTGTAAGAATTTTTTATAATTATATTTTATAGAAATAAAGTAAGTCAACAACTGAAACTAGAAATCGATCTTATTTGATCTGCTGACACCTCTGGTTCGAATTCAATCTTTAGTGTATTTATCATTTTTTTCTGCATTAGTAAATAATTACTATTTTTTCAGTTTAATTCGAATTAATGATATCTATTCTTAAATCTCATCTAGCCGTCTCAATCATTGATCAGTAACTAATCGTGAGATAATCTAGAAAAAACAAATACATACGAAAATATCTAAGTTCAATGTATGTTCAATTGAGTTTAATGTTTGTGTAAAATAAAACCATGAATTAATAGTTAGTCGACAGAGTACGATACTATAACTAGTGACAGATAAATGCGACACATTTTATTTGAGTGCACTGACTTCAATCGGTACAGGAAGAAAGACTCAGCCTTCACCCTGGTTACATCATTAGTGATAAGTATATGTCAAGTATTGCAATAGGCTGAATTTGTATAATGATTTGTCACACAATAGCAAGATATTTAAATTATAGGTTATCGGAAGTAAATATAATACTCATATTAATTCGAACTGTCAATAACACACACCCTTGATGAATAATAATAATGAAACATTATAAAAAGATTCAATCTCATGATTCGTAATACGAACGATGATTGTTTACACTTTATTCTATTATTGCACTCAAAATAGAGCCCGAGAATTTATTTACATTTGTTGCTTGAAGTATCGCGGCACTTTTGTTGATAGAAAAATATTCGATCGAAAGAAAAAAGAGGTATTTGTATTTATAACAAAAATATTACAAATAAATGAAACCTATCATATTTGATTACTTTTGTATGTAAGCAAATAAAAAATATAAAAAAATTTATTTCGTCCAATAAAATAACGTCTAGAATATATAATTTTGTTTTTCACAACAAAAAGAAAAACAATCTACCGAAATTCTAAATAAAAGATAAATCATTTAAAAAATAAAAATGAAAACCTATACGAACTACATATAACTAATCAAAAAATTCATGATCATCATCATCATCATCATCCTCATTTTTATTAAAATTTACTTTTGGAGTTGTTGGTGTTGACCTTGGTGATTTATGATTTTTTTTTGTCATTGATGATGATGATGATGTTGATGTTGATTCATCATCATCATCATCAAAAACTGAACTTTTTGTTAATTTTTTTAACCATACAGATGATGATGATGATGCTGTATTTGTTTGAATAATATGTTGTACAGGTTGTTGTTTTCTATCAATTGATATTTCATCATCTGAATTGGATGATTGTGTACCAACATATTTTTCAATAACATGTTTTAAAAGACTTTTAGCTTTATCATGTGCATAAATAGCATTTACAGGTAATAATGAAACAGCAAATTTATTCGTTAAAATTTGTGAATTCATAATATGTAATTTTAATAATTGTGAAAAATGTTCAATTAATCTTAACCATAATGAACGATCTTGTTCAGGTAACATATATGAAATAATATCTTTATCTAAATCTTTTATATTTGATGAAAGTATATCATCTGTTAATAAACATTTATTTATTGTTGTACGACGTATTGTTGACTGTAATTGATCAAGTATAACCATTGATGTTGTCGTTGGATCAAGATCTTTTAATGAAAATTTTTGTTCATTATTACCTATATCAATTATTGTTCGTTTTTGTGTTATTGTTGGTGGATCAAGACGATAAAATTTTTTTTTATCTATTGTATCTTTTAATTCATTTTCAATATAATCAAGTAAAAAATAAAGACCAGTACGAGTTAATTCCATTCGAAGTGAACCATTACGTTTTATACGTGAAAATGGATTTGCTATTTCATTTGATTCTGTTATTGATTGTTCATCTTGTTGTTGTTGTTGTTGTTGTTGTTGTTGTTGTTGATGTTCCTTAATTTCATTATTTATAATTGGTGTTGTTGGAGATGTTGTACGTTCTAAACCAACTTTAAGTTGATCTTCATAACGTTTAAATAACATTGATGAATCAACATCATACGATTGACGGACCATAGGCACTAAAAAAAAAGAACAGATTTTTATTTTTTCGTACAAAAAATAATTCTATTTTATTATTTACTACTTCGTCGAAGATTTCCATCGCTTTCTAATTGATCTTGCTGTTTTATATGTTGACCTAAACGCTCATATTCATTACTACTATTAATATTTGTACTTGTTCGAGTTAATATTGGTTTTTGCCAATTTGGATAATTTAATTCTAAATAATTTAAATAATCATTTTTTAAACGTATTAAATTTTCAACATCAAAATGTAATCTATCTAAATGTTGTTGAGCTTCCGTTATATTATTAAGTAGTTGTAAATTACGTTGTTCAGCTCGTTGAGATTCTTGATTAAGACGTGTAAAATAAGTTTGTACATATTGAATTTGTTTTCTTTTATATGAACGTGTATTATTATTTGACATTAAACGTAATTTTTGTTCGAGTTGAATACGTTGTTCTTCATTTTTTAAAATTTTTGAACGTAAATTAGTACTTCGTTGTTGATAATCAGAGAATAATGGTGTCATTGATGGTGATGATGATGATGGGTTCATCTTGCTGTTTGTCCTCTAGCAATGACAAACACGCCAGAATAAAAAAGAAAGAAGTTCACATATATGCAATACCCTCAGATAAAGGTAAAAAGAGTTCTCACATTCTTACCTATTCTTTCTTATTTTTTTTTGTTCTCTTCTATGTAAGATTGTCATGAGCAACCGTTGTGCCGCTACGTCATTCACATGATTTTAATCTGATAGAGAAAGAGAAAAAAAAAAACGAGAGAAGGTCACCAATTGAAAAAAGAATTTATATATATATATATAAATTAAGATTTTCAGTTAGAATGAATTATTGGACAAATAGATGTGTGAAACAAAAAATGAAAATGAATAAGTGATTCTTATATTCATATCGACGTAAGTTTAGTTTGTTAATCAAACAGACCAAAGGCGTATGACGTTGTTATTCTTTTAATTTGCACGAAGTAACTAGAGGAGAAATAAACATATTTGAAATTTTTTCTTCTTGTGTTTTCTTTCTTCATTCCATTTTTTTTTGATTTGATCAGTGCACATCAATTCATTTTTCATATATGTTGCTCGATTATTCCATTACTTGTTTTAGATGTCTTAAAAAAACACATACGCAAATTCGATCAAGAAAATAATAAAATGGCGAAATTTCTTCAACGTTTATTCAGCGGTGGTAGTTCATCATCAAAACGTTCATCATTACGTGCTTCACATACATCAGTTCATGAAAGTAGTCAACGACCTGGTGCATCAGCGAATATGCGTGCTGCTACATCACTTGAAAGTCTTGCATCATATAATATTAATCCAAGAGAACTCGAAAAAAATAAATTACACAAAGCATCATGGGAAGGAGACATCCATAAAGTAGAACGTCTGGCTCGACCAGGTCTAGTTGATCAACAAGATCAACAATCTCGAGTAGATTCAATTTCTTTTTCTTCTTTTTTTAAAAATATTGTACAAGGTATTATTTTTGTTCTCTTTTTTCTTGTATATAGACACCATTGCATATGGCTGTTGCCAGAGGACATCTAAGTATAGTACAACGTCTTGTTCATGAAGGTGCAAGATTAAATCTTGTTGATAACGATCAACGAACACCTTTAGTTAAAGCTGTTCTTAGTGGTAATCACAATCAACCATTATATTATCAAATATGTATAGCTTTATTACAAGGTGGAGCTGATGCTTGTAAGAATTCATTATTATTATTATTTTCATTAAATGATATATATATATATGTATATGTTTTTTTTTTGTATCTATAGTTATTAATGCCGTAGATAATAGTGGAAAAAATGCATTACACTATTCAATTGAATATGGTAATGAAGACCTTGTTGATCTTTTTTTATCATTTCAAAATTGTGATGCAAATTTTCGAGATCGTGATCAAATGACACCATTACATTTAGCTGTTAAACGAAATAGTCCTAATATTGTTGATATACTTTTATCGGATAGACATACACATCAAGCTGATCCTAATTTAACAAATAGAAATGGACAAACACCATTACATATGGCAGCTAGTCTTGGTTATGCTGATATTATTCAAGTTATACTTCAATCAAATCTTTCTGAACCATGTGATCCGACAATTCTTGATACACGACAATTATCAGCATATCAATTAGCTCAAGAAAATCATCATGATGAATGTGCAAAATTAATTGATGACTATCAACATGGTTGGACAAAACTTTCACCACGACGAAATACATTAGAATCAATAAATGAACATGAAATTAATCCTGTGATTAGAAATCCAGCAGGACGTTTTCGTGATGATGATGAGGATGATAATTACAGTGAAAGTACAACATCAGAAGATACAAATCAATTTTCAAAATCTTCATCAAGACGTATACAACAACAACAACAACAACCATCAAATCAATGGTTAAATCGATCAACACCTGTAATTAATCAAAATAAACAAGAAACTTATTCTTTAGCTGATCTTATTAAAAAGAATCCATTACAACCTGATTCATCTAAAACATATGAAACAAAACCAAACAATCAAACATTATCAAATCTTGTTAATAGTATGCCATTAAAACCTGATGAATCACGAACACATGTATCAAAACCAAATAATCAAACATTATCAAATCTTATGCATAATATTCCATTGCAACCAGATGAAAAATCAACTAATAAATCTATGATAAGTAAGTGTTTCATCGGTTATTTTTTTTTTGATATATCGTTTTATTTATTGATTGTTTTTTTGGATTTAATCAGCTCCACAAAAACAACCACCATCAATATTCGGTATTGGACCGACAATACTTCAACGTGAGGATAGTGATAATATATCAACAAGTATGTCAATTGAAAGACCATCTATAAATAAAAATCTTATTGGTGGACCAACATTATCATCAAAGAAAAATGTAACAATTAGTTCATTGATTCAATCATTACCACAACCTGAATCAAATGATTCAAATTCGTGGACATATGATAAATCATCAGTACATAAACAAGAACCAATTACAAAACCAGCAACAAGAATTGAAACATCAGATGATACATCATTATCACATTCTGATGATGATGATAATAATGTTGGAAATATTTATAGAACTAAAACAGCATCAACGAATTTTCCAAAACCACCAACATTAAATCATACATCAGGATTTACAACAACACGTTCAAATGAACAACTCAATAATACCGATAGTGATGAAGATTCAATTGAAGCTGCTGTTCGACAAATTAATACACAAAAATCATCATTTGGTATTCAAAATTTAGTCAATCAACAAATTGGAAATAATTTTAAAACTTCTCAACAAATACCTATTTCAAATGTACAAGCACCAATAACTGAAGATTATTTATATACAACATCATCTATAGGATCAAATAATGAACCAACAACAAAAGGTATTAGTAATTTAGTTCAACATCAACCATTACTTAGTAAAAAAACAAGTGAATCAACATGGGATGATTCTCGTCCATTAAGTGCTGATTTAGAACGTAATTCAATTAAATCAAAAACTCATACAGCATTTAGTTCAAGTGATAGTGATACAGATCAAGATCAAAAATCAGCAACAATTGTTAAATCACCAGTAAAAAATGGAGCTATAGCAAATTTTATTCAAACAAGTATGCGACCAACAGAATTTAATGAAAAAAAACCAACAGGTGTTGAAAATTTAATAAAAATTATTGATGATATTAAACATTCACCACCAACAAAGCAAAATCAGTAAAAAAAATAAAATAAAATATGAATTAAAATTTTTTTTTCTTTTGAAGATCAATACCACATAAACCAATTGGTACACTTATTACTTCATCAATGCTTCATCGTAATGATTCATTATCATCGGATGCTAGTTCAATAGTTGCTGATAGCGTACGAACATTAGCAATGGCAATTCCTACGATACCTACTTCAAAGCCACAATTGTATCATGATGAAGTTGATAAACGTAAGACTATAGAGGTTTTATTCGTTAGCATGTTAACTACTACTCACCTTGAAAATATAATTTGCTTCACTATCTTTTGAATAACTTTTGATAAGAACATTATAGAAACCTGCAGCTTTCACCATGCAAGAGAAAAGACTCGAGAACATTCAAAGTTGATTGGTCAGCAATTGATCAATCAGGTGACCTCTTATTGGATATTCCAACGATATTTCCTTTCGATTTGGACTTCTAATAGGACTAATCGATAGAAAAAATTCTTCTCTTTCGATTCTACGCGAGGCTAATATTTCTAGTTTATTTCATTTGAGAGTTATACAGCTTTTCCTGAGATCCCCGATTCCAGCTAACACACCTATGTTCATTTGGAACAGCAGCTAGACAAGAGTAATTCATCGTGTTGAATCGAATGGTTATATTTGTTTTTAGGTTTAAAGTGATCTCATTCTATTATATCAATATTTCTGAAATTTCATAAACAGCCTTCAAGTAATGAAGTAGTCGACATTTCAAAAAATATTGGGATAACAGTGTCAGATCATTTCGAATCTTAAAACAAATATTACCATTTGATTCCGCATGATGAATTATTCCTGTCTAGCTTTCTTTCCGAGTGATTGTAGGTGAATTATCTGAAATCGAGGGTCTCAGGAACGGTCGTATAACTCTCGAATGTAACAAGCTATGGATGCTAGTCTTGTGTAGATCAAAAGAGAAGAATTTTTCCATCGAGTTGTCCTATTAAAAGTCTAAATCGATAGGAAAATACTTTCAGAATATCCATCAAGAACTCACCTAATTGATTAATTGCTGACAAATCAATTTTCGACGTTCTTAGGTCGTCTCTCTTGAATGATGAAAACCGCAGATCTATATGATGTCTCTATCAAAAGTTATTCAGAAAATAGTGAAGCACATTCTATGTTAAAATGGATAATAGAGTAATGATTCATGATATATGGTTTAAGTATTCAAATCAATATGTCAAATAATATATCTTCGGATGACATATGAAAATATGATAATCAATGTTTCGAAATTGAATAGAAAAATTTTTCAAGACTTATTTATAAAACCATCAACACATTCTCCATAAATGATATCATAGTAGAAAGTATGAAATACTTATCTTGGTCATACAATTGAGATTTATTATAAATTATTGCTTGCTTGATCAATCAAAGTATATATCGAATAGGTGATTCACCAGTCTACAGTATGAAAGTTTTTTGTATTGAACATCAGACCTAACAATGAGCCATTCAGTCAAAAAATAGAGAAATAACCTAATTTGAATCTATTAAAATAGTACTATCAGGAGAGGCAAAATGATTGCAACATTCGGTATTTTGCAAATATGTCACCACACAAATTATATAATCTTGGTTTTCTTTTCGAAAAACCACCATCAAATTCTCTTCAAACATGATAATAAGAAATCCTATTAAATTCGTATGATGATTTTATTATAAGATTAAAACTGAATTGCTGAGTGCTAATGAAATGTCCTATGATTTTATGAGGAACAAAAATGAACATAACATAAAAAAAAAAGGTTTTCATTTTATTTCAAACAATAATCTTCATGATCTTATGAGGATGTGAGTAATGAGAAGACAAACACTCTACACACGTCCATTCTAAGCTGAGCCCTAATACAGTAGAAGTCGGATGGGATTATTAAAAAGTAGTCCAATTTCGAGGCCTGCTGAACATATTAGGTGTATGTTGGTTTTTATTCTTTTGAAATTATTCATTCAATGAATACTTCGACTCATCAGATAGCTGATGATTATTAAATAAACGATCAAGATAAATTGTTTATCGCTTTCTACTATTGTATCATTTCATGTAACCTTTTAATTCTTTTTTATAAAATTTAAAAAATTTAACCACTCCATTTTCATATTATATTATCATATATCAGCTAATCATACGAGAGCTTTAGTCTTTTTTTCTAAACGATATGCATTATGAATCACAATAGAAAAATAAGCAAGTGTCTAACAATGAGAAACAGATAAGTTTATGTACTAAAACTCAATTCTGAAAAACAAGAACCAGAATGAAAATAGAAAAATGAATAGTACTGATTTTCTAGACTATTTATTATACTTTTGCTAGTTCATTGGCCTTCAATGACAAATGATAGACATGATTTTAAACATATTACAGACAAATATTCCAATGAAATCATTCCATCATCTCAACGACAATCATCACGTACATTGGCACATCATGAATTTAATAGTTTACGTGGTTCAATGTCTTCTTCAACGTCATCAATTCAAAATAATATGGTAAACAACAAAAAAAAACAAGAAAGAATATTTGAATTTTTCTTTCTTTGTTTTTTTGTTTTGTTTCTAGGAACGTTTAAGTGAACTTAAAGAAGATATCAAACAAATTGAACGTAAACAAGAAGATAGTCTTGAATTAAAACGACAATTAAAAGATATGGAAATAAAAAAAAATAATTTTGAAGCATTATATAAAAAAAATGATCAATTATTACGTGAAACAGAAACAAAATTAGAAAAAGAAATTAATGAAAAACAACGTTTAGAATGGGCAACAAAAAATTTAAATATGGAATTAAAAAGTGTTAAACAAAAACTTCAATCATTAGAAGAAGAAAAAGATATATTAAATCAACGTTGTGTTAAGTTAAAAGACGAACGCGATAATTATGGTAAAAATACATATTTTTCTATAAATATTTATATCTTATGAAGAAATTTCTTCAATTAGAGCCCATTGGATTCAAAGTTTTCGAACTCGGTTAACAGAAAAATTTGAGACTGGGGCCAATCAATGGGCTCTATCTCTAACTGATTAATAGATTTTTAGTCGAGGGTATGTGTGTCATGTAGGCCCAAATGAATTGTCAATATCCTGAAAAAACTTCGGATCCTTAGCTTATTGCTGGTGAGATACTGCGTTTTTATGGTATTTTTTAGCACAATATCATGACACAGTGGGGTATTTCTATAGAGCATGTGAACATGGCTTATTATCTATCAAAAGCGCATTTTTTTCATAGGAGAAAAGTAAGAGATTTTCGATAGAAAATGCATAAGAGAGTTCTAGATGACAGATACTTAGTCATTTTTGGGCTTAGGATTTTCCTAAACTGTTAAAGAGCACTTTCATTTTTTCACCAAATGTCCAAGTTGTTTGTCTATTGTACATAGTCCTTCGCAAGACCTGAAATTTTCAAAGTAAACTTTTCTCATCAAGATCTGTGTATGTGCAATGTTTCAAGTCAAACTTTGAAAATGAACTTTCCTAGTGTTTTATTCAGCGTAGGAAGGCAGCGTCTCACCGAATATCTGGTTAACTCTCTTGGAATTTGTGGTTCTTCCACGTACTATGTGGCTGTGCTCTCAGAAATAAGTGTTCGCTCTTGCGGAAGAGCTAATCTGAATAAAATACTCAGTGTTTTTGAAGTTGGCTACAGCAGTAACTTAAAAAATACAGTGTCTCCGCAACAATAAGCTAACGACCTTGTCTGTTTTTTAGAATATTCATAGCTTATTAGAATCCATAGAATCCAAAGCAATCACTCGATTGAGGGGCTTCACTCGTTAGAATCGAGAGTTTAATTATTGACGAGTTTATTTATTTTTCGACATTTACTCTTTAATATGGTGCATATAAATTGTATCAGAAATAGAAGAGATTTTATACATGAAATATTTTTTGTTAATGAAATTTTATACAAAATACAACTATTTATTTACCGATAAATTTTGTTGATGTACTATGATTCTATTGACTTTCTTCGAAATTGTTTGAAGAATCCATTGAGAGAAGAACATTTCACACTCTGTATGTTTGATATTGTCGATCGATTTTTTAATGATAGATATGTAAAATAATAACAAAAATAAACATAATAAAGCTAAACTTGAATGAAGAACACTAGTATATTTTAAACTGTAATACAATCCACTATTTTATACATTGTGAACTTCTTGAGCATAGTGAAGTACATCATATGCATACCTGTCACTTCTAGTTATTCCATCTATCATATATGTATATACAGTCGATTTCATCGTTAAAACAGTTGGTCATGTTTTTATTTTGTGTTCTGTTTCTTTTCTCGGTCAAAATTTATATACATAGTTCATCATCTAAATAAGATTTCTATTAAAATTCAATTAAAAATTCATCATATTGAACATGATTATCAACATACTTTAAAGTACAGACTTTTTTGTTTACAATATGTTCAATTATTTCTTAGATCGTACAAATACATCTGGTTAGTAATTTATTCATTGAAGTAACACAATATAATTCATTGTTCTACAAAACAAAATTTGAACTTTATTCTTCTGATTTTTTTTTGCTTTCTTAGACGAAAAATTACGCATACATCAAGTAAATAGTTTACAATCAGTAACAGCAGCTGGTGTACTACGTGAAGAAGATATTGAAAAAATAAAATTACGACATCGAGAAGAAATGAAATTATTATCTGCTGAAAATGATGATCTACATCAACGTACAAAACAATTACAATCAGATTTACAATTACATAAAGAATCACTTGATGTAACAATACGTTATAAAATTGATTTAGAAAAAGCTCTAGAAGAAAAAACATTTTTACAACATGAATTAGATCGTTTAAAACATGAAAGAGATTTAATTGAACAAGAAAAAATTGATTTTAAAACAAAATATGATAATTTACAAGAAGAAATACGTCTTATGTTATTAGATCGTTCAAAATTAGAACAAAAATTAACAAATGAATTACAAGAACAAATGAAACAACGACAACGTTCAACAGATGATATTAAAAAATATAAAGCACAAATTGAACAATTAAATATTAAATTAGGTGATGCTGAAGCACGTTTACTTGTTTTACAAACACAAAATGAAGCATTATTAGCATCAAAAGATCGTGATATTAAAAATGAATTTGATACACTTACACAACGTCTTAATACAATTGAATCAGAAAAATTAAATGCTGAACAACGATTTCGTAATGAACAGAAAGATATAACAAATAAACAACAACAACATATTTTACATGAACCACTTGTTCTTCTTACATCAACACCATTAAACAATGCTTTACAACAACAACACCATCAACATTCATCGTAAGAATAATTGCACATTATCATAGCATTTGTTTTTCTTGCATTTGTAAAGATAAAGATTCAAAAAATGATTTGATATTCTATTTTAAATTCTTTCTAATTAATCTTTTCGAATACAAAATAACAAAATTCTTCTTTATTTGTTTGTCTTTTAGTTCTTCACCATGTATAAAATGTGATACACTTCAACGAAGTTATGAACACGAACGTGAACAACGTATACAAACTGAAAAAGATAATGAACGTTTACGTGATGTTGTATCACGTCAAAAACAACACAATGATTTAAATAAATCTCTTCAACAACACCAAGAATATGAACATAATATTTCGGAAAATTCAAAACAAATTCGTTCTGAAACTGGTCGTGTTAAACATGAACTTGATCGTCTTCGACATGATTTTGATAAATTAGTTTCAAATTATGATTCACCAAATAATTTACAACAACAAACACAATTACATTCACAAATTGATACATTACGTCAGTTTTATGAACAAGAATTTCGACAACAATTACTTTTATCAAAATTAACAAATGAAATGAAACCATCACCACCACCCCCAACAACAATTCATCATTATCATCGAACATCATCACCAATAAAACATGATGAACATGAACATTCATTAAATGGAAATTCAAATTGTTTAGCATGTTCAAGTAGTCGTTTACTTAAAGAACGTCTTGAAAATGCTATTGATACAAGTTTAGCTGATCAACGTATACAAACAATTAAACAAATGCCTATTTTACCACGATTAACATCACCTTTATTACCAACAAATAATAATACTACATCATCTTTGGAAATTTTACGCAAATTTTATCATGTTTAAAAAATTTATCAAATATAGAACAGTGATGTTTTCGCGTTTGTATATATATAGATGGTAGCCTCTTGTTCTTTTGTATACGTTGAAATGTTTTGTTTATTCTTAACAGTTTTTTCTTTTTTGTTTTTTTGCTTACAAAAAATATACAAGAGTATTCTTTTAGATATATCCGTGAATGCTAATAACAATATTACAGCTTTGCTAATGAATGTGTTCAAATAATGAAAATAAATAAATAAATGGTTCCATAACAAAATGTCAATATATAAATGTAACGAAAATCATGATTAAAAAGCTTGATCTTGATATCATTCCAAATTGTGAGTGTGTCAGAGAAAGTAGCATTCAACATAATCAATATGACTTCGCATGAACATGATCGAAGAAACAGTCTTGTCATCATTAAATTTATTTATTGGTAATTTAAAGTATTTCGAAGAAGTCAATTGAAACTGAAAGACAAGGAGAATTTATTTTTTACCTAATTGTATTTAATTACATATTAGAACTCATAGTTGAATCGTATATAATATATTGGAGTTGTGTAGAAGAAGAAGCCTTATCTAATTGTATTCTTATTCTCGCTTTTTGTCTGATATTGAAAAACCACAAGAAATTTTTAAATAAGTTCTCGCAGCCATTGACGAAATTAAAATAAATAAACAATCGGATTTTATGGTGAGTAGAGAAAAGCACGTAAGACGACTATTTTAATGTCATTCATGTTAAAAGAAATCAGATCACTTTTGGAATGGCCCGACTAAGTCAGTCGCGATCTGAAAATTACTTATACTCGGCCAGTTCGACTTCTACTCTATCAGAACCGATTTATTCGACTTAGCACTGATTTTAAGTATATCCCTTTCAAAAATAAAGATTTCTAAAGGATAAAAGTCAACGGTAATTTCTGTAATTTCTCAGAACATTACAAAATATTTATTATAAACTGAAATAATTCTAACACTTTGTAAAAATAACGTGAAACATACGTTGAATTACTCATTGAATCGATAAAACAAGATATGTTTGTTGACATTCCAAATTCATGAAAACTATACCTCATTAACAAGAACTTTTCAGAAGTAAATTATTTGTAAATCGATTTCAACAAGTCAAATAAATTACTATTTATAGCTTAGACTGATAATTACTAATACTTTTATTTTATTCATTTGCATGATCGCAGAATCGAGACCCTAAGTATTGATTTTCAATCTTTTTAGCGTTTTACAATTCATTAGAGAAGTTTGCATTTGATAAAAAATCGACTCAATCGATAAACATGAACAATATAATAGTTCATTAACGATATGACATGAAGATCATTGGTTTGATAATCAATAACACAGAATGAGTGCTTAGATAGAGTATTGGAATGCTGAAATGTCACTCAAGAATCAGATGATAACACCATTTCGCCAATTCGGACGAAAAAAAAGACCAAATTTTAACAGACTTTCGATTCTACTATTGTGTTTTCCGAGAAATTTTCTTCGTTTGTTTTAAAGTTTTACAAAGAATGTCTTTTTATTTGCATCAATATTGAATAAATAATTTAAATCTGACAGATTGTGCTAGCTTACGCCATCTGTCACATACTTTTAAAAATTCCACTTAAATATTTACGAATATGCCGTTCTAAAATGTTTTGCGTTCTGAATTCGAATAAAAAAAAAACTCATGTCTAAACTTATTGATTGTTTTTCTTAGAATATGGTTTTCAATGAGACACAGTGAAACTCTTTCCACCCGATTCAAGATATAATCAATATTTTTTTAAAAGTTTAAATGGGAGTAAACTTATCTCCGACGAGATTTTTTTTATAGAAGTCATCTTACACATTTTTTTTGTAACGTCATGTCTACTAAAATGCGCATAAAAAGTGAATGGAAGCAAATTTCAAAACTCTGTTCGGACGAAAACTGCATAAAGTATTCGGTTTCATTTAAAACTGCATCGAGCTCTGTACCTCTTGTAATGACAAAGTTGTAGAGACTTTCTTGTAGGCTATAATTAAGTCGAAAGTTCGCTCTAGTTTGACATATCGGACTGAAATTTTTACCAGAAGCATTTCTCACTGGGACCACAATTTCAGCTCAAATGAACCATTCTAAGTAATAAATCTGTTTATTGTCAAAAGTAATTATTCAAAATAAAATGAAAAGAAATATGATTTTATTTATAGTAATAAAAGCAAAAAAGGTTCAAACCTGATTATTATCTTTTAAAGAAAATGCTTCTTCTTTGAACTATGATGCATGAATAATTTATCATATTATAAAATGAAAAAGCTCAAAAAAAAAATATGCCATACATCAAATTAAAAGTATTAAACTGATTGCAGATCATGCAATATCTTAGAACTTTCACTTTGGACATCTTTTTCTTTAAAAATAACACAAAACCACCACGTAAAACTAATTCAATTCAATAATATAGTCGCAGGAATAAAGTTTTCTTTTTTTGTTTCTGTCAATATCTTCATAATCAAATAAATGAAATAGAATACTAATTGCTTTCTCTAATCATAAGGGATAATATGAGTAAATAGTCTCTTCCTTATACAAAAAAATACAAGATATAATTAATAGAAAAATGTTCTGTATCAAAGAGATGAAAGAAAAAAAAATGTTTGAACAACAGTTTATGACTATCAATGATGGAATTTGTAAATTATTTATTGACTTCATCAACCGGTGGTGAATATCGCTCCGAATGTTTTCCACGAGGATGTAATGATTCTAATTGTTGATGTAGTCGAGATTCACCACGATGCATGTCATAAACTTTATCTGTATATCGTTTGCCTTCTTTTGCATCATGTTTACCACGTATTGCAGCTACAAAACCAAGAATAGCCGTAAAAAATAGAGAACCAACAACACAACGTGCTCGAAATCGATCTTTTGTTTTTTGATAAACACGATTACTAAAAAGAATTTATCATGAATTATTATAAGTAAATATTTATTATAATGTACGGTAGACTATCAGGAACATCACCATAACGTCTGTAAAGTCCACCTAAAACCATAACTAATTTTGCTAAAGAACCAAGATGTACAGCTAAAAGAGAAAAAAAAATCTATAATGAACTAGAAAAATCGAAATAGAATGTTTACTTACGAACACTATCAAATGATGTTCGTGAAGTTGTATTTTCTTTTGAAGATTCATTTGTTGATGTTTCTGTACTAGTTGATTCAGCAAGATAATGGGTACTTATACTGAATGGAAGAAGAGTTTGTCGAATAACATTTGCATGATATACACGATAAAGAAGAGAAACTTGACGTAGTATTGATTTATTAATAATCGACATTGATGAAAATAAAAATAAAATGATGTTTTTTTTCTTAAATTCGTACTCAATTAGATCACAACCTTTTGATGCAATTCTGGTTCATGCATGTTGCTGAGACCATTATCGACAGAATATAAAAAAACAAGTTATTGGCTAATCTTTTCGAAGCAATGATGAAACTAGAACGAAAGGTGGCGCGTATTTCTGTGTTGACCATAAATGACAGTAAAAACAAACGGAAATTAGGGATGTCAAAAACGATTTGTTACTAAATAAAACGAATGAAATATTACATGGTTTTTTTTCCTCTTTTTTGAGATTTAACTATAGATTATTGTTTTTTTATCATGGAGATCGTTTATACAGTTGATGTCAAGATGATAAATGATGGTGAAGATTTAAAACATATATTAAAAATGGATATATCATGTTTAAATATTCTATGTTTTTCATGTAATTATCTATCCCCACCGAAGCAACAAAAAAATTGTCTAGAAATCATTTCATCGTAAATAATTTTCTTTTTTTTTTATTTCTATTATAATGTATTGGGGCTTTTTTAATATACTATTTGAAGTTCTTTACATCAAAAAGCAAAATCATCGTTTTGTGTTTATATTTGTTCACTTGAACAGCCATGGAATTTTAGTTTAATTACAACATCATTTTTACCAATTGTTCAACTTGTTTGGAGTCTTGATGGTACACATCTACTTGTATGTAATCAAGCAGGACTTTGTCAAATATTTAAAATGAAGGTATAACTATATGCAAAATGATCTATAAATAGCATTACGATTAAAAAAATGAAATATCTCCGCATTAATCCAATCAAATAAGTTGATTTTTTTGTGGTTAGTGGTAGAGGTTTATTTAAAGTGTTTTTTTTTCATACGAATATTGTAAGCATATATTACTATTAAGTATTTTTGTTGGTATCATGAAAGAAAGTCATCTGTCATCCAGTACGAAAACTAAATGTTTAGCGTTTCATAGATAATTATCAGTTGTCATCTAACAGAATAAGAAGTTAAAACAAATTTTATGAATGATACTATATTGATGCACATAGAACAAATTCAAGATGTCGAAAGAACTGCAATTATGCATTTTACTTATGCAGCACAAATTCCAGCATTTAAACTGACTGGTTTTAAATACTTGTGCTCTGTGCATCAATATAGTTCGTTTTGAATTCTTATTATTATTATCTTAGATGACAATTGAAAATTAGCTATGAAACGCTTCATATGTGTTTTTCTTAGTTGATAATAGATGAAATTTCTTTAGTGAAGCTAAAAATATCACTTGACAGTAATAAACACTTCACAGAATAAAAGCTTATTCTATTCAAATGAGCACAAAATAGCAATGTAAAGTATTGAATAGATTAGTTCATCACTTTTCGTTGTTTAGTTGTAATTGTTTTGGTGTATCTAATTTCATTTTTTTTAAATATGTTTTCTCCTACCAAACAAACGAGTTTCTTTTGTGAACCGAAAAATGTGTACGCATGAACATTAATGAGAGACAGTTGTTCAAGAACTGGCAAATAGAAAATAGGCATATTCTTATACAATTCTATTCGGCTTTGTCCGGTTATGGGATTATATACAGTTTAAAAATGAAACGATATAAATTTTTATTAAGATGACAGAAATATGAACCAATCTCTCATGGAAAAATGAGACATTGCACAAAACTGAACAATGATCGGTTGAAATTATGCGAAAGATTTTCTGATTCAAGATGAAATGAATACGAGATTCATTATTGAAACACTCATAAGATGTGAACTACCTATTTTCAGACAAATGAGAAGCCGTCATTTGGTAGTACAAGATTTACTTTATACTTCTATCGAGATAATTGGAATATATCTTCTCGCGTTTCTGAGCTGTGCGTAAGCTTCTAAGTTGACGCCGCTTAGCAGAGCCGTATAGAAGTTTTTTTCTCAAACCAAGATATTGCAATAAGTTTAGATTAACATATCTATATTAACATCCATGGAATGTTGATTACACACGAACGTATAAATGAGACAAGCAATGTTGTGAATACATTATTCAGATTCTCTGAATTTGAATATACTATTTTTGTCGATTAAATATTGTTTCAAAGTTTGAAAAACGTAGGGTTTTTTGGAAACTCATTCTGCAGATCAGGAATGTTTGCGCTAACAGAGATTAGAGACAGTAGATAGAAGAATATTCTAGCAAAGCTTGGAGGTTGGATGCTTCCCTATATTTGAATCTTGAAAAAGCATGACCTTCATTTTTAGTCAAATGTTTGCCTAGATGCACGCTGTGAAGGAAGTTATATGTTTACATTATCCGCATGAAAAAAACAACTTTAAATAAGCATTTACTACTAACCAATATTTCCATTTTTTATCGTAGTGCTATCTATGATCTACCTTGTACATATGTATACTATAAATTCGATGATTTTTATTTCATTTAGAACGATTGTATCAATACAATGGATATTATATATCAATACGAAACACATGAAGATATTCTTTGTGCTAAATATATTTTTCCGAGAGAATTAGTTAGTTTTATAAAAAAAAAAAGAAAGAATTCATTATAATTAATAAATTAATTTTCTTAGATAGTAGTTAACCTTGATAGAAATGAAACATTTTATGAAAAAATAAATATTTCATCACCCTTATTGAAATATGCTCTTAATGTCGGTAATTTTGTATGTATTACAACATCTGGTACAGTAAGTTCTAATAAAATTTATTTGATATAATCATTTTCTTTTTTTGTTCTTTTACTAAATTAATTTAGATTCATGCATTACCACTTAATTGTTCATTAACTCCATCTACTTATTGTCTTTCACAACGTGCATCGCTTTGTGTTTGTCTATGTGATATATATCCTACAGATAAAGGCTTTAATATTATTCTTTGTGAACATATACAAGGTGCACTTATTCATTTTTTTGTTGTTAATTATGCTTCATTAGAACCAAAATTATCTCTTATATCTTATCGAACTCGTGGTTTTCGTATTCCATCATGTTATGGAAAACTTCAATCATTAATTTATTTTCAACGAAATGGAACTGATTGTATTCTTACACATATAACATCATGTACTAATGATTTAATTGATCTTTATGAATATCATATTGAACAAGAAGAATGGATATCAGTAACTTTATTAAATTCATCTCAAACACGTATTACATCAATATCATTATCACCAAATCAATTATTAATTCAAGATAATAATTATCAAGGATTATTTGCTCGACAAATTCTAATAGCATTCAATGATGGTTCAACAGCTAGTTTTGATAAATTAAATCTTACATCTCGAGGACGATATCTTCCAATGAATAATACTAATTTAAATATTAAGCAATCCGAATATTTTATTAAAATTCAACATACATATTCTGGTATGAGAAGAAAATTAAAATAATTTGAAAAAGAAAAATCAAAAATTTAATTCAAAAAATAAGATAGAAAAATTATGTTTACATCCAATCACTACTTTCTCGTACAATAGTTACAACATTTTAAAATTTGTATTTTTTTTAAATAACAAATGATCTGAGAAATCTATTTAAATTTTGTCTATAAATTCTCGCGAGAACTGAAAGATAATTCTAACATTACGTATTAAAGATGTGCAGAGTAAGCTCTTATAGTACTCTATTACTTGACTCGAGAAAATTTTTTAATCTTTATTCTATCCCAAGATTACCGATTAGGAAGAGAATGGCAGAGGACTTTTCCTTCCAAAAATTGTCGAATTTTCTGCAATTTAATTTTAGTCTGGAGGAAAATCATGACAGAAAGGAAATTTTAGTAGTTTTAATTCTGTCTCCAACAGATATTCATATGAAGACACCTTCTCTCAGACAAAATATCATAGAAAGTCGATGATTTCAACATCGTCTGCTCGATCTCTGCTAGAAAGACAAGCGAAGATACTTTCTATCAAACGCGACTATACGGCTTTGACTTTAGAATTGGATATATGTAGGTTTGTAGAGTTAGATTTTTTTGACCCAACAGTACAAGTATACTAATTGTGTACCGTCGAAATATCAATAGAAGGCACCATCTTCGCCGCTACTACGGTAGAATGCATCGAAGATGACGCCCTCTACGAATATCTCAACAGTACGCATTTAGTATTTACACCATTAGATAATGGAAGTCTTCCCCTCTATAAGTCTACACATATCCTGTTCTGAGGTCAAAAATGACTACGAAACTGATAGTCACCTTTTCAGTTCGTCCGACGTTCCAAAGCGATCGGAAATACTGCTCTACCCTCCTTATCTTACTCTACGAAGTTTTGATCTCACTCTGTCTTAAACCTATTCTAGCTGAACCACTTTAAAAGTGATAAATAACAAAATAGCATCACGTTAGAGATATATGTAATAAACCTTTTATCCTACCTTGTACTCTGATTAAGAAAAACTTTTCTACCCCTTACTTTACTCTGAAGGATAGAGTAAGATAATCCTGCACATCTCTATTACGAATTAAATAAAATTTGTTATAAATAGGTTTATGTTGTGTTGGTTTTACACAAAATGGTAATATTGCACTTCTTCGTACAATATGTCTCAATGATACATTATCATCATCTATGCTTAATATTCTTATTCATTTATTTGAACAATATATTGTTGAAATATTTTGTCCATGTGATATATGGGATATTTTATGTATTATTCCAAATAATTCAATAATAAATCAACTTATTGATCGATTAGTAATAAATTATGAAATGCAAACACTTGAATTTAAACGTCTTTATTTTATTCGTTTAAAAGAATGTCTTTATCATTTACATCGTCTTGCACGTCCATTTACAAAAGATAGTTGTGAACATTTAATTAGTTTACTTATTTATCATGTTTTATTAGTTGTACGTGATTATCTTCGATTATTTATATATGAACCAACAAATCGAAATTTTGTTGATGCTGCACAAGAAATTTTACAACAAACAACATTTATACAAAATATTGATATTAAACGAATAAAATATTTAGGTGATCAAACAATAATAAATGAAACAAATACAATAGATCCAAATCATTATCAATTAATATCATTTACATTATTAATTAATTGGGTATGTGATATAATATTTTATTTTATTGGTTATTTACAATCACAACAAATATCATCATGGTTAACATGTCAAAATTTATTTACTGATTCAAAACAATTACAATGGTTAAGAGAGTTTATTATTTATATTTATATTCTTAATAAAATGAATAAAATACCTTGTAGTAAAATTGCTCATTTACAATTATTTTCACAACAACAAACAACAAATTCTAATGAACAAAAAGATATTTTTAAAGATATTTATCTTAGTTTAACAAAATTTAGTCATAAAATTGAAGGTAAAAATGGATGATTGTTTTGTTTTTGTCAAGTAAATCTAAAAATGAATATTAATGGTCTTGTGTCTGAACCTTATGAGGAAACGTTTTCAAAGTATCAATCGCTTTTGAATTCGGACTCTATCCATAAAGTAGACCGCAGTAAGATATAAAAAACCTCAAAAGGATAAGTCTCCTTAGATCTTCTTATCCAGAGTTATAGGTATTTCGACCTGAGATTTTGCCCACAGACAGGTCTATTTGTCGGTAGAACACCCTGAAAATCTCAGCTCAACAGAATTTTTCCTTCTTCGAGATATTAATGTTCCAGGATACAGAAAGTTCTAGTATCTTCTGTGGAATATCAGTGATTTTTTAGGACTGTAGTATCTCGAGAAGGAAATATGCTTTGAGCTGAAATTTGCAGGGTGTTCTACCGACAAATAGACCTGTTCGTGAGCAAAATTTCATCATTCAATTTGTTGATATATATCATCCTAGAGACTCAAGTGCCAGAAAAATGTCTATAACACCTGACAGAAGGCTTAAGAAAACTTATCCTTTTGATGTTTTTTATATCTCATTGGTGTCTACATTATGTAGAGAATCCAAATTTAAGAACGATTGATCAATTGAAAACGTTCCCTCATTAGACTAAAAGTCAATTGAATTTATTGAGAGTTTAGCGCAATTAGATTCAACAAGATTTATCTACATTGTTTTTTTTTCCTTTGAAAAGATAAGATTCAATCGTTAGGTCTATATCTAATATTAATTTTCACAGCTTGCAGTAATTCACATTAATTTTAAGTTATTTTTGATTTTTAGTTCAAAAAACAAATATATTTGATGAATATTTTCTCGAAGAATGGTCAGCTTTCGGTATTGAAATGTTGCAATCAAAAGCGGACGATATGTTTCCGAAACCATATCCGTTTCTAATTCCAAATTCACCATTACCACAAATATTTATTCGTGATCAATTACCATCATTTGCTACTCATCTATATGATAATTCAATAATAATTAATAATTTTTTAGATATACAATTTGATATAATTACACTTGGTAAAATGTCTTTATCAGCAAATCCAACATATCGTCGATGTTTACGTTGTTCAAATTTTTCACGTGTATTTATAACAAAACCATATCCATTTCTTGTTTATCGTCTGAATAATCGATGTTTATGTGGTGGTCTATTTCGTCTTTATACTCAACCACATACAAGTGAAATATCAACAGTGAAATAATCAAATAGTATTTGTGTTAATTTTTTTTTTGCTTCTGCTAACCTCGATAACATATTTTTTAATAAAATATTTAAATTTTGTAAAAAATTAAGGGGGGGGGGGGTGTCCTCCTCCTAACATGCCCTGAAACTTTGTCAGTTTGTAGAGGATACCTTTAATAGTATAACTGTGCAATAGGAAAGAAATCTGTCAAATATTGACTGAGTTATTAATTAATTAAGTTAAAAATTAATTAACATTTTTGGTTTGAGAAGCATTTTTTTAAAATTTTCTAGTTTTTCATGGATATATTACTTTTAATTGATTCTAGTATAGTTTTGTAGAAAATTGTCTGTAGATACAATTCCATATTTAAAAAGTTAAAAAATGACTTCTTTAAGTATCTTTTAATTATTAATTAGTGCCAATTAATAATAGTGCAGTGGAAAAAAGTAAATTTTTACAGTATTAAAATAAATAGAACGAAATTGTTTTTTATATCATTTGATAGAGCTTTTCAAACTCTATCGAATGCTATATTCCTTTCCTTTCAAAACTTCCATTTTTGAAGAAAAAAAATTCGATATTGAGAACAACATGCGACAAAACCGGCTCGTATTAGGCAATTTTCACCATTATACTTTTCTTTACGGTCAAAATGAATATGATATTCGGAATCAGCGCCAAAAATTGATCCAGAAAACATTTTTTTTTCCAATAAAAAAAATTTTTCACCGAAATTGGATGTCCAGGTAGCCACAGACGAAATCATGCTTGAAAAGGCTGAGGGGGTATACGAGCATGATTTTGACAGAATTTTTTTGTGAGAAAAAAATATGTTTTTTGGGTCAATTTTTGGTGTTGATTCCGAATAACATATTCATTTTGACCGTAAAGAAAAGTATAATGGTGAAAATTGCCTAATACAAGCCGGTTTTGTCGCATGTTGTTCTCAATATCGAATTTGTTTTCTTCAAAAATGGAAGTTTTGAAAGGAAAGGAATATAGCATTCGATAGAGTTTGAAAAGCTCTATCAAATGATATAAAAAATAATTTCGTTCTATTTATTTTAATACTGTAAAAATTTACTTTTTTCCACTGCACTATTATTAATTGGCACTAATTAATAATTAAAAGATACTTAAAGAAGTCATTTTTGAACTTTTTAAATATGGAATTGTATCTACAGACAATTTTCTACAAAACTGCATTAGAATCAATTACAAGTAACGTATCCATGAAAAACTAGAAAATTTAAAAAAAATGCTTCTCAAACCAAAAATGTTAATTAATTTTTAACTTAATTAATTAATAACTCAGTCAATATTTGACAGATTTCTTTCCTATTGCACAGTTATACTATTAAAGGTATCCTCTACAAACTGACAAAGTTTCAGGGCATGTTAGGGGGAAGACACTCCCCCTTAATCAGGCAATCTTTTTTTTAATTTTTTTCTTCCAATGAAGAAACAGTATATACTATAGATTTTGAAGTCTTATGAAAATTTCGAAAAGCATTTAATATATTCTAAAAGTCGAACGTAGTAAAAAAAGAGAATACATCGATATCTGAAAACGATGTTGATAAATGTTCTTCATGCAATAACTAGAATAAATTAGAGAAAAGATATGAGTAGCTGAAACAATTTTCTATCAGGAGACGTATTTGCCAAATTCTCATTAACATGCTTTGGTGGAAGATTTCTGTAAAACTAAGACGCACAAAAAACCAGTTTTCTGGATTCTATCAAAAACGTTTTATGAACAAGTTCATCGGATAGACAAAACATTTCTGAACAAGAAAAAGATGGCCACGATCTATCTTCGACGAACTATATTCATTTTACGAAAGGCCCTAAAGTGTAAAACGCAGTAAGTTCATAAAATTTTTGGATCTAAGCAAACTGATCAATGCGAAACATTTATAATAGAAGAACAAAAGCTTTCATCTGTATGAAAAATAAAAGAGTATTAGTTCATAAATTATCTGTAATGCTTCCAGTTTTTGTGGTAATTAGACATGCATCAAAGTCAAACTCAAACTGTTTGGGTTTAGTACTAAAAATCATCGAATAATTCAAGTTTGATCTCAAGCCCACTTATGTTTATATTATTTTCTTTCAGGAATGCACCAATTGACTAGAATAGACTTGACTAAAATTGGAATTGATGCATATTTAATAGTAGTACCATGGAAAATTAAAATGGATGCCGAGCATTCTTCAGAACATTTACTTTAAAACAGCAGAAAAAGTAAAACTAAAGGATGGGTGTGAGTGTGTGGATCTTCTTGCATCCTTACATCCTTATTAAAGCTTTCGTTCTTATATCATGAATTTTGTAACTATTCATCGTGCCGATTATTTTCTGTTTTCTCAAATTTTTATAAAAATAACAGAAAACAGCCTTTTAAGCCTATCGCATAATGATTGTCGTTCGTTGAAGAAAGCTCGTGGATATCTTATTTTGCTCAGAGATGTTTTTTTTCTATCAGATTGAACTTGTTTGCAAAACGTTTTTGATAGAATCCAGAAAACTGGTTTTGGTGGCCTTAGTTTTCCAGAGACATTTCAGTCAAATCTACTCATGGAAATTTGACAAGTACCTTTCCTCATAGGAAATTATTTCAGCTACTCAAATATTTTCTCTGATTTGTTCTAACTTTTTGTTTCCACCTGATCTTATTTTCAGAGATTTTATTTTAGTAGTGAAGTAAACTATATACTAGGGTTTTAATTCGTCGCAACAAAAAAAAATCAAGACTGTTTGTAATATGAAGTGTTACAAGCGATATTTAAATGTTGTCTATTCCTATAATGAAATATTCCATCGACTCAATATTAATGCTTTCAGTTCATTTCAATCATTAGCAACATTCTATGAACCGATCCGCGGCTAACCTGGTCTATCATTGGTCAACAAGTCGTTTGATGATGCATCAATTTAGATATGTGTTATTTATTTGTACTTGAAAATGGGAATTTTTCAACAGTGAATTGATCAAATTTAATATATACAGTTCATTATGTCATTATAACATTTTCATCTTCTTCATTCACATCGATTAGATTATTATCAATTTTATCATAGATACTTTTTTGTTTTTGTATATCACAAAAACATTATGATAATTCTATGGTCTTTCAAATGTTTATGAAATCTCGGAAATATATCTATTTTGCCCTCTGTTCTTTTTATTTAAAAACAAAAACTGTTAAGTTTCAATTTCGAAATTAACTTGTTCAATAAAAGAATGAATACGTTGTTTTCTTTTCATTTCTTCATATTTAATAAATATTTGTCGATAAAGTCGAATTAATATCATTATTATTGTTATACTAAATAATATCCAAAGTAAATAAAAATTTAAGCCATCTGTAATTAAATATATATCCGATGATAATAATCGACGTAATGGTGGACAAATAAAAATAATTGTAATAAATAAATAAGGTGTCCATATTGAATAAAATTCATTTTCATAAACAAATCGATCAAGAAGAAAATAAATTAAAAGAAGAATAAATACACTTGATAAACCAATTGTTGTTGGTAATGTTGGTAATTTAAAATATGAATCAAGATAAATAATAAAATTTTCAATAGAAGAACATATTGTTAAATAAACTATTGTTGTAGTATAAAGAAAAAGACAATTTAAAATAAAATAATGCATGATTAATAAATCGATTGATCTATAAAAGAAAATAAATTTTCAATTCGAACAAAATAAAAAAAAAACCTCTACTTTATTTTCTCTTCATATTTTACTAATTTCACTGCAACTAAACGGCAAATGATGATTAAAAGAATGAAACTAATCAATAAACATGCACATGAAATCTAAAAAAAATCATTTTCTTTTTTTGGTTTTTGTAAATTTTAATCTAATTAAATATACTTCTGCTGGTATTGGCATTTGACTAATTATTTGAAAAGAAAGTGCACTAATAAGAAGAAAACAAAGAAATGAATTGAATATATCCGGATTTCGATAGACATATCCTAAATGAGTACGTCTTGGAATATATGATAATATATAGACTAACCAAAGTGTCTGAAAAGAAAAAATAAAAACTATTAGTAAACACTTTGAATAAAATTACTTGACAAGTTTCTGCCAAACGAAGAAGAAAATTTTCAATGACTAAATCTGGTCGTAAATCTGGTGTATAAACTCGTCTTATTGAAGACGGTTTCATACTTAACCAAAAATCTTTCATAATAAAAAACAAAAAAAAATACATATATATATAATTTTGTTTTAAAAAATTTATTCTACTATATTTAATTACGAGAATATGTTTGTATATTGTCTGGTATATAAGCTCTTAATGTATATAGAAGATAAGATAAAGCAGTAAAAATTAAAAGTAATATTTGTCTTATATTATGTTTATTTCTTGACATAAGAGGAAGATCATTATCTCGTTGATTCGATTGAAAATCATCAGTACCAAGAATAAGATTTGCATATTGTGATTTTGGTTCTATTGGAATATTTGACTATGATGATCAAGAAGAAAAATATTTTATTGATTCAAACTAAAATAATTTACCTTAGTATGTCGTAATCGAACATTATCCATATCAGACATTTGATTAGGATCAACATAAACAGGTGATATTTCTGACTTCTGATGTTGAAATTTCGAATTAACTTGCATCATAAGATATATTAATCTATCTATTTCGTTGTAACTGTAGCAAAGAAAGATTTTTTTTTTTGCTTTTTAATGAATAAAATACAAGAAAGACAAACGTTTTGCTTTGTCTACAAATAATGTATCCAACAGCTGTTGCCAATTTTTATGCTTTTTTTCTTAATCATTGCTATTATATTTTCTTTTTTTTTTCTAGCAGATTTCCTAACCTTCACACAATAGCTACCAGAATATTCTCGATTATTAAACAAAAAATATATAAGTCATTACATGAGAAATATTTTCTATTAATATAAGTACTGACACGTCAACGATAGATCTATATTCAAATAAAAAATTCACCAATGAATAATAAAAAATAAAATTTATATTGTTATTTGTATTTTATAACTATTTTTAATGTTGAAATATGAATGAGCTATGATTGACAAATTTTCTTTTACATCAGATATTCTTCATATGCAAAGAATTACAAAACAAAAAAAAGAAAGAATTCAAAACTATCCATTGTATATTTTCGTTCTAATCTTTCTTGTACAATTTATTCAATTAAATAGTTTAATGAATATTTTCTCACAAAAAAAAAATTAACTATAATGAAAATGATAAAATTCTTTGTTGATTTATATCTTTTGACTATATATGAAACGCAATTCAGTAATTTAAAAACAGCCTAAAGAAAATATATGCATCAATTTACATGAAAATAAAAGTTCAAATTCCGCAGGAATAAATGCAAATTTTTCTTTTCATAGACAAACAATGATAACTTCTATAGTAACATCCGATTTGCATTATTGAGATGATAATATTGAAAAAACCTATGCATTGTTTACTGTATAATTTAAATGGAAATTTCTTTTTTTTTATTAAGTCACAAGCTGTTATTCAAATAGGTATTCATATGTAAATAAACAAGCTGTTGTTTGTTATTGTTGATTATCCGTCAAAAAATATGGATATATTCAAATATTTTCTCATAGAAATTCAAGTATAAAAACAGACGACAATGATACAATTCGTCAAAAACGTCTTTTCTTATTTGACACGGCAGTAAAATGTTTGCTTACTTGTCGCTGTTAAGTGCTATTCTTATTTCTGCGCATCTCACTGATAGTGTGTAAGTAAAACTATGTACAATTTGATGAGAAATTTATTTCTTTTGTTTTTTTTTTATTAATTTTATTTTCAAGTGTTGTTGCTCCAGAAAAGGTGTCGAATATATGTTCGACAACAGTTGTTGAAACAAAAAATGATACTTGTCCACATGGCCCAACATTTAATATTCTGAGTGAATATGAAAAATCGGCAAGCGATTGGAGAATTGATTTTAATGTGAGCAATTTTAATCTTTTTTTCTTAATAAAATAAATCAAATAATTTTAGGAATTACGTATAAAAGGTTTGAACACGCCTGATCAAGTTGAAGATCATATCAAAACAAGATCGGATAATGGTTCACCATGTCTTTATCAACGGTAAATTTTTTAAATTAATATTAAAATTAAATAAAATCATTCTATTTACTTTAGTAAAGTAGAAAAAAAAGTTTGCTGCCAAGGATGGAGAGGCACATCATGTGATGAACCTATCTGTACGATTGCTTGTGTTCACGGTCAATGTGTTGGACCAGATACATGTTCGTGTAATAATGGCTATGCTGGTGAAGGATGTCAATATTCTCAGAGTATGTTTTGTTAATATGAGTTTTCATTTAGTCAGTTCGAAATCAATTTTAGATGATCCTCGTCTTGTTCAATGCTTTCGTAAAGACGATTGTAGTATCCCATCACGTATTGCCAATGAACCTATGAGTATATCTCATTGTTGTGGTAATCAAGGTGGTGTTGCTACAGCATCTGCCGATGGTTCATGTAAATTATGTAATACTAATGATAAAGATATTGCTAATATTACTTCACACGCTCCTCGAACATTAAATTATGCAACATGTGTTTTATGGGGTCGTGATCATATTCGAACATTTGATGGACTTAAATATGATTTCCAGGGAACGTAAGTGAATAAAATTTAGAAAAAAAACAAGTTTTATACAAAAAAAAAGAAAATTTCTTTTATTGATAGTTGTCAATATAAATTAACTGGTACAAATAATTGGGAAATTGTTGTTCAAAGTGAAAATTGTGATCAATGGACAACATGTAAAAAAACTTTAAGTATTACATTTGGTGGACTTCGTATTTCAGCTCGTGGAAAAAGTGTTAGTGTTAATGGTGCTGTATTGAATTCAACTCAAGGATATGTTAATGGACGTAAGTCAACTATGAGAAACAAAAAAACATCAAATATATTATAAAAACATTTTTTTTTATTCAATTTCTAGCACTTACTATTGAGCGTCGTACAGAAGATTATACTTATTTACGTTATTCTGATGGTGTTCGTTGTAAATGGGATAATGACATGACAATTTATGTTACAGTTGAACAAACATATATGAAACAAGTTAAAGGTCTTTGTGGAACATATACAAACAAAATTGAAGGTAATATTTAGTTTATCCTTTTCTTTTCTTTTTATTTTGTGAAACATGATCTACAAGGAATATTGAAGTATACTACGATAGAAATTTGCATCTCCGACAGACATTGTTAATATACAATTAAAGATTGTATATCAATAACGTCTCGTTTAACTACTGCCTTATTACAGTTATGAAGGATTTAGTACATAAAACAATTTCTCTGTGATTAGCAAGAGCAGTTACATCGTATTTCACATTCTAATCTAACAAGGATTGTGCTAACAAATTTTTTTTTCCTATTAAAAAAGAAAAAAACTTCATTTAGATGATCTTGAATTACCTGATGGATCACTCAGTACTTCAGTAACTAATTTTGCTAATGAATGGCGTACTGATAGTGGTGTAAGTAATATAAAATTGTAATTAATCTATCCATGATTAGTTTCATTTAGTGTGCAACAAGTGCTATACCAATTGATCCATGTAATACTCCAGAATTACATTCTAGTGCTGAAATTGCTTGTCGACCAATTCGTGATCCATTTGATTCATTTAAATTATGTAATCGTGTTATAAATGATAGTCATATATTTGAAGCATGTAAACGTGATCATTGTGCATCAGCTAAATATGGTACACATTCTCAACAACAAGCACTTTGTTCAGTATTTGAAGCTACGGCACGTGATTGTGAAGATAATTATATTCATGTTAATTGGAGAAAATCAGATCGTTGTCCTAAAACATGTTATAATGATAAAATTTATACAGAATGTGCAACATCATGTCCGGCAACATGTCAAAATCATCGACAAGATTTTCGAGATTCATTAGATTGTTCAAAAGATTGTGCACCAGGTTGTGTTTGTCCAGTAGATACAGTAATTGATTTAGGTCGTAATGCATCATGTGTTAGATCTGATCAATGTACTTGTTATTATCATGGAAAATATTACTTACCAAGACAAACAATTGCCATTGATTGTAATGATTGGTATGAATTTAAGAATTGAGAAAAATTTTTTATTTATTGTTTTGTTTCTTTTTTCTTTTTATAATTCTAATTCAATAGTATTTGTAATGGTGGTACATGGAGTTGTACAAAGAAATTTTGTTCGCGAACATGTTCAATAACTGGAACTAATCATATTCAAACATTTGATGGAAAAAATTATGCTGTTCAGGGTAGTTGTGAATATATTTTAGTTCAAGTAAAATTTATTTTATTGATTAAAAATGACTCAAATATTATTTTTGAAAAAAATTGTTTATTTAGGAAATTCATTCAGCTACTGGTCTTTATGTAGCAATGACAAATGCATATAAATCAACATCAAATTATAAAGAATTAACTGTTAAAATTAATCAAACTTATGTGTCTATTAAAGATAAAAATGTTCATATTAATGGAGAAGCTCGTTCAACATTACCATTTAAAAATGAACAAATTACTGTTAAACGTGAAACAACTGTTTTTTTTGTGCTTACTGGTATTTAGTTAATTTGAAGTTTTATTTTTATTTTTTTTAAATTAAATTTTGAGTCTTCAGGTCGTGGTTTCCAAATTCAATTTGATGGTATTCGAGTTTATGTTCGTTTAGACCCAATATTCGTTAATAATACACGTGGCTTATGTGGTACTTATGATTTTAATAGTCAAAATGATTTCTTAACACATATATCAATTGTTGAAACAAATATAAAAACATTTGCTGATGATTATACAACGAATCCAGCATGTTCAACTCCACCACAACAACATCCATGTCAACAAAATGTTGTTGTATGTATTATACAAAAGTATAACAAAAAAAAAATCTAATAAACTATAATTTTGTTATGTTTTTAGAATGCAAAGCAGGCACAAAATAAATGTGCAATATTAAAATCAGAATTATTTGCACCATGTTCTTCTGCTGTTAATCCATCTCAATTTATTGATAATTGTGAATTTGATTTATGTGAAGATGCAAATGCACATTTTCAAAATATATATTTTTGTTCAGCCATTGCTGCATATGCACATGAATGTCATTTAGCTAATATTACAATTAATTGGTTAACTGATTCAAGAATTCAAAGTGCATGTCAAGATGCTCAATATGGACAATGTACAGGGGGTGCTGTTTATAGTGATTGTGCACCAAAATGTTCTCAAACATGTCATCAACTAACAACAAAATCTAAAACATGTTATGAACGAGAATGTATTGCTGGTTGTTCATGTCCAAGTCAAACATATTTAGATACATCAAATCAAGATAAACCACAATGTGTTCCACAACGTCAATGTTCATGTTATGATTCTGAAAGTGATAAATATATTAAAGCAGGCGGAAGTATAACAAAATCATGTGGAAATTGGTATGATGATTATTTCTTTTTGTTTTTCTTTGAATATTTATTTTATTTTTGTTTGTTTGTTTGTTTGTTTGTTTCAGTAAATGCGATAATGGTGAATGGAATTGTGGATCTCAAGTATGTGAAAAAGCTGTAGCTTGTCCAGCAAATCAAATTTATTCAACAAATGCTTCATCATGTCCTCAAACTTGTGAAAATATGAACTCTTGGAAAGATTGTGGAATGACATTTGAAGGTTGTACATGTCCAGATGGACAAGTTCTTAGTCAAGATGTAAGTCATTTATGCAAGATTGTGGAAATACGAAACTGGAGTGGATTTTTTTTTCTCATTCACTTGTATATTGTCGAATACAGCTTGACAAACTGGTCACGATTATATAGTTTTTATCTTGATTCGACTGTTGTCGGTGTCAAAATATAATACACTTCGATATTTTTTCAAATATCTTCAGAACGAAAGTAGCTAGAAATTTGGGATTTTCACCATTCGAAAGAAAAATATGAGGGAAGTGAAACATTTTGCTGAACTATCTGGAATATGTATTAGTCAAACTGATGAGCTGTAGATTTTCACCATAAGTTTCGGAAAAAAACTTTTCAACTAACTATAAGTTCTAAGTTAGGAAGTCGATCTACACGAGGTCGATCTTTTTAGCTTATTTCGTTCAAGAGTTATAAACATTTTACTGAAAGCCTTGAAATCGGCCAACTGACCACTGATCACTTAAAACTCTATGGAGTTTGGTGTATTCGTCTAAGCTGAGTCTATTGGTGGTATTTATTTTTAGTTTTGAAACAATTTAACGTTGAAAAGATCAAATCTTGAAAATATTTCATCTAACGTTAAAAGCTTTATATAGATTGCATTACAAAAATCATTATCTAGCAACTTACAATCATATTGAGACTAAAAACAAATACCACCATTGAACTGAGATTAGACGATTACACAAAGTTCGATACAGTTTCGAGTAACCAATGGTCTATTGGTCGATTACGAGGCTTCTAGCAAAATGCGTATAACTCCTCAATGGAATCAACTAGACGATTTGACCTTGGGCAGATCGATTTTCTAATTTAGAAGTCATAGTTAGTTGAAAAAGTTTTTTCGAAAACTTATGGTTAAAATCTACAGCTCACTAACTTGATCAACACATATTTTAGATAATATAGCAAAGTTTCACTCTTCCACATTTTTCTTTCGAATGATGGAAATTGCAAGTTTCTAGCTGCTGTCGTTTTCGAGACGTTCAAAAAATATCGAGATGTATTTTGTTTTGACGTCAAGAATATATTCTTATACATTCGAAATTCTGAAGGTTTTTTACAGATAAACAATGGTTGAAGCAAGATAAAAACGATAAATTTATGAACAGTTCATCAAACTCTATCAGACCATAAATACATGAACTAGAAAAGAAAATTTACTTGATTTTTGCATTTCTACAACTTTAGAATAACTAACAAAAATAAATTTTTATTATTTTAAGTTAAAAACTTGTGTTGTTGCTAAATCTTGTCCATGTCGATATGCTGGTCATTTATATGGTTCTAATGAAGTTATCAAACGAGGTTGTAGTGAATGTCGTTGTTCACGTGCATCATGGTCATGTGTTGAACGTAAATGTGATGCAACATGTTCAGCATCTGGTGATCCACATTATTCAACATTTGATGGTCTTCGTTATTCATATCAAGGCAATTGTAAATATATATTAACACAAACAAAAGATAAATTATTTCGTGTTATAACTGAAAATATTCAATGTGGTACATCAGGTGTAACATGTGCAAAAAATATTCTTATTAAATATAATAGTTTAGCAATATCGTTAATGCGTGGTCGTGAACCTATTGTTAATGATGTTGAAATAACAGATTTAACATTAGGAAGACGTATATTTGGTGATGTTGCATTAATGAAATCAGGTTTATTTGTTTTTGTTAATTGTTCATATTTTACAATTAGATGGGATGGAAAAACACGTGTTTATGTAACTATTCATGATAAGTTAAGAGGTCAAATGGCTGGATTATGTGGAGATTTCAATGGTGATTCAAGTGATGATCTTCAGTAAGAATTTTATTAATATAAAGAAAGAAATACAAAAATATTTATCTAATTAATATTTTAGTACTGCTAATGGTGTACCAGGTAGTATTAGTGAAATGGCTGAATCCTGGAAAGTTGAACAAACATGTGTTACTGGATCATCACCAGTCATGGATTCATCAGCACCATGTGCTAATTTTGAAGCACGTAAAGAGTGGGCTGAAAAAGCATGTTATAAGGTAAATATTTTGATATTTCTCTCTTTTTTTTTTGTGTATACATTTCTGAATTATTTATTTATTTTTTAGATTATTGATAAATCCGAAACTAATCCATTTTTACCTTGTATTAAAAAACTTGATGAAACTGTTGTAAGATCATTCTATATTGAATGTCTTTATGATGCTTGCCAGTATGTACAAAAAACAAATGTTCATTTTGTTTTTTTTTTTCGATTTTATTGTAAATATGATCAGAAATTGAAAGAATTGGATGTTAATAGCATCCAGAAAAAGATAAAAGTAATGAGATTTACGTTTTTGAGATAGGAAATTATATCCCTACCTTTCTGAGAAGATGGGAATATTATTCATGCGTACAATATCTCCGTCATAGTAGTTATTTAAAGTTTGATCGAAGACTTTCGAGGTCGAGAAATCTGAATCTGTAATTGGTTTCTCGATGAAGTATTCTAAAATGGTGTTTGCTACATCGAGAAATCAAGTATACAATTTCAAGAGTCTGATTACAGATCATAATTCCTTGACTTCGAAAGCTTTTGATGAAACTTTGTATGACATCATTTATATTGAAAAATAGTCTTTCCTTGATAAACTAACAAATTGTCTATTACTTGATAACAGATAAAATCCTAGTCCTGATATTGATTATTATAATTAGACTAGAACGATCTTCTATATTACTCAAACGAAAACAGAGAATGATTGAAGATGTCCTCAAGAAACTATCGAAGAAAAAACAGTTGATTTCAATCAATCCATGTTATTCTAATGATACTGAATCAGATTTTCCGTCTTTGGTATAATCTCAATATGATTTTTATTCTAGTTGTGATACTGGTGGTGATTGTGAATGTTTGTGTACATCACTTTCGGCATTTGCTGAAAAATGTCTATCATATGATGTTCCTGTTAAATGGCGTACACAAGATCAATGTCGTAAGTTATTTAAATAAAATTATAAAAAAAAAAGATTTCCATGTATATATTATATAGCAATGCAATGTGAATATGGCAAAATTTATATGTCATGTGGACCAGTTTGTCAACCAACATGTAGAGATATTTATTTAAATGATAGTTATAATTGTGTAGAAGCTGGTTGTCACGAAGGTTGTTTCTGTCCAGAAGGTCAAGTTATGGATGAAACTGGTGCATGTGTTATACCGTCAGAATGTCCATGTGTTGATCAAAATTTGGCTTATCCTGTTGGATCGAAGATTATTCGTAATTGTGAACAATGGTAAGTATAAACAATACTTTTTAGATCTTAGTAACAATTTTTGTGAAACACAATCTAAATAGAATGTTGAAGTATACATAGAGTAAAAATTTACACACACACTCTCAACTACGACAGACATTTCCATAACAAACACCTTAGTAACGCTCAAATATACTTCTATGGATATAGTCTATCTAATAATAAAAATAACTTTGTTATAGCCATTAAAAAAAATTGAAAAATCAGTTGCCCACAAAATTAGCCTGAAAATCGTGATGTTACCAGAAAAATTCATGTCTGACAAAATTAAACTGTTCGACAGATAAACCAAGTAATATTTTCTCAATCTTCAAGTCAAGCTCTATACAATGGTGTAAAAAACATTTTTTCTACAGTGCCATCCGAACAACTAGTCTCGTAACATGAGCAATCCATCGACATCGAATCGCTGAGCTTTCCCAGAATGTTCTTCCATCTACTGTCTCTAATTCCTGTTAGCTCAAACATATCTGCAATACACAGTATGTTTCCAAAAAACCCAGATTTTTCAAGGATTTTTCAATTTTTCTGACTTTGAAAAACACTTAATTGGTAAAAATAGTATATTCGAAACCAGCGCATTAAATTGTGCCAAATAATACATAATACAAAACAATTTTAAAGAAAAACATTGTCTCGAGAAATGAGGGCAATGATTTCTCTTAGACAATTTTTGTCGAAAAACTTTTTGTCAAAGAAAAACATATTTTTTTAAAATGTTTTTCTGCATTATATTCAATCATTTCTGAGCAAAGAAATCCATTTTCAAGCAAAAAAAGTCACATGTTCGCCTATCATGCGAAAAATGCATACTGTGCTCACCGGCTGCGTCACCGATAGTGACAGACATTATTGGATTTCTGAAAGATTAACTAAAAGGATGGTGAAAAAATGTCTTCTAAAATCAATAGAATAGATCATATTTCGCTGTGGTTAGCAATAGTAGTTACATTGTGCTTTACATTTTAATGCTACAGAGGTTTTGCTAACAGCTTTCTCATTTTAGTGAATGTATGAATGGTACATTTCATTGTGAAAAATTACATGACTGTACACCAAAATGTTCAAAACGTGAATACACATGTAATACAACAGGAAAGTGTATTCCTCGTCAATGGGTATGTGATAAAATCCAAGATTGTGAAGATGGTTCCGATGAATATAATTGTAGTATGTATTTTTGTTTGTCTTTTCATTGATTTATTTTTTTGTGTTATATAGACTGTACAAGTCATGATTTCTATTGTGAAAGTGGTCAATGCATAAAACCAACGTATCGTTGTGATGGTTTCCCACAATGTCGTGATGGATCTGATGAATTCGATTGTAATTATACAGTTCCATGTACGGAATTTGAATGTGATAATAAACGTTGTATACCTGAATCTTGGCGATGTGATGGTGTTATTGATTGTTCACATGATGGTCGCGATCGTTCTGATGAACGTCATTGTAATGCAACAAAATGTGATACAGATAGTGGTCGAGAATTTCTTTGTAATAATATGCCATCTGGTCAATGTTTACCTATAGCACAATTATGTGATGGTCATGATGATTGTGGTGATGGAAGTGATGAAATAAATTGTAATTGTACATGTAGTCAACATACATTTGCATGTAAAGAAATTTGTCAATGTATACCAGTTAATCAAGTATGTGATGGTAAAATTCAATGTCAAGATGGTTCAGATGAAAAAAAATGTAAATGTAATCAAGGTGAATATACATGTAATGGAGGATCATGTATTAATGCAACAAAATTATGTGATGGACAAAAAGATTGTCCTAAAGGTGATGATGAATTACAACCAAATTGCAGTAAGTGAAAAATATTTTTGTTTTTCGTTCAAAATATATATTTCGTTGTTTCTTCAATTGTAAAGAATTGACAACAAAGATTCCACCAAGTGCAACTCAAACAACAAAAATTCTTTCAAGTATGTGTAATTAATTACTTCATTATTTGATATAAGTTTATGAGTTTCTATTTTTTAGCATCTATAAGTCCCGTAACAACAACACCATTTTGTAAAACTCGTCTGTGTCTTGTATTGAATGTTGAACGATGTATACCAGAACATGAACTTTGCGATGACGAATCATTTTGTACTGATGGAACAGATGAAATTCCAAGTTTATTTCCTAATGCGGCTCAATGTCAAGCAACTCCAGGTATAAACAATAGCATCCTTAAAAAAACCTAGAGTTATTTAACAAAGTTTTTTCGAAATATGAAGCTTTCAAAAAAATGCATGTTGTATACACTATGCATGAAAAAGGGTCTATATTGCGAAGAGACTTTACTCAAAGTTTCTGTCTTTTTCTTCTAGAAGTTAGTTTAGTTCGGTTCTTTATATACACAAACTTTTCCATCAAAATTCCAAAATACGAGTTTTTCAAAAACCTGGGATCTCCAGACAACAGACATATTAACAATTCGATCGCTTAGTTAAATCTCAATAGGAACCGAAATTCTTTTAGAATTTTTATTAAAACACGATGTAGTGTCTATAGCTAAAAAATCACTGAAATCGGAAGGAGACATCTGATGAGGGTTTCTCGTAAAAGAAACATCATATAGATAAAAAAAAAAAGTGTTATACTTGGTTCGTTGACGAAGCTTCTATAGTTTTCAACTTGTGTCATTTGTCCGTTAGCATAGTTATGGAATATGTGCTAGTGATTCGGTTCATATATGGGCCATTTCAAGCAAAACGGGACATATTCAACTTTTATTTGACTTGAATTCTTTACAAGGATTATTTTTCTGAATAAGTTCTTTTAACATAGATATATGTAAAAATATTAGCTCTTTCAGCTGACTATTAATTAAAAAGTAACTAGTGAATATCTATTGAATCCTATGAGAAAAAGATTCGAAAATTTCAGGATGTTCTCTACGTCATGAACCACATCTATGATAAAATTTTCAGCAAAATGGAACTCCGAAAAGCATCCTCCTGAAAAGCAGTGTTTTAGAGATTCTATCAACTCCTGAAACAAAACGTTCTGTCTTATCATCATCTAAAAGTTCTGAAAAAGAATTTCTACCTGTTGGAATCGATTTTGAACTTCTCATTAGGTTATAGGAGCATTGTTTTTTGGACTTCGTCATGTTCTTCACGAAGAAAAAATAGATTTTTTTTTCTGAAAAATTTAGGCATGCTCAGAAAAACCTTAGATAAAGATTTTGTAGCCTCGGACGTTGTCTACAGATTGTACTCTCTAGTTTTCAAAAATGTTGTCTTAATTCAGAATTTTTTTTGTAAACTAAAATATATGAAGTGACAGTCAATGTGCTTTTTTTGTGGTACGTCATTAACGCTAATTTTATTTAGACTATCTAGAATAACTAAACATATATATTACATATGAAAATTAGCTCTAGAGAAGTTCCCTATCTCAAGACATACGTGTCTTTAATTTTGAGATGTCATGTCTTTAATAAATGATTTTGCTCGTTGAATAGTTGCAACGGTAACATCACAAACTACAACAGTTGCCAAAGAATGTCCTGCACCAAATAAATATATTTGTGGTTTATGTTTGGAACCAGAACGACTCTGTAATGGTATTTGTGATTGTAAACAGGGTTGTTTAGATGAAAAGAATTGCAGTAAGTTTTATTAAAATCTATCAGATTTGTTTAATCAATTATTAAATTTAATTTAGCTACTTGTACATTGAAATGTAGAGGATCAAATGTTTGTATTTCACCAGAACAAATCTGTGATAAAAAGTGTGATTGTGCTGAAACATGTTCTGATGAACAAGATTGTGTCATGCGTAATAATAAATAAATATATTTATTAAAAATGATTCGCTTTTTCTTTTTTTATCATGTAGCTACTCCACGACCATGTACACAATTTAAATGTGATGCAACAAAAAGAAATCCTACTGGTAAATGTTTAAATCTTACACGTGTTTGTGATGGTTATCCTGATTGTGTTGATGAAACTGATGAACCCGAAGATCTTTGTAAATATACAACAGCTCATGTAGCTTCGATACCTTCTTTACGAACAACAAAAGTTCCAGAAGGTTTGAAATTTTTGAAATTAATGATAAATAAAATTATTTCCTTTTTGTTTTATTTCAAGTGTGTACTGAAAAATCATCAACATATCAAGCATTTCCATTGAATTCTCCATTAGTATTATCTGTTTCATCTCCACAGATATCAGATTTTTCACATAATCGTGAAATATCATCAAAACATCCTATAACAATTCCGGGAGCAAAGGGTATTCAAGTAATAGTTGAGTTTCCATCACCGTATCGTGTCATGACAGTAAATTTAACAACAACAAAAAAACTACAATACTTCCTTGGTCATACTGGTGAACAAAATCCACAAATAAACGCTGTAATAACATCCTCACCAAATCGTCCAGTTTTTGATTATTTAATCACTATTGTTCCACCATCCACACAACCAAGTACACAACTTTCTCTTGCTATTCTTACATCAGGAATAACTGATATTACATCATTAACAATTACGGCTTGTACAGGTAATATTTTCTCAATTATAAAAATTGGTGTTTTTTTTTGTTTTGATTACATAATATCAGCAATTGATGAGCAGAATTTCTCATCATTAGAAAGAATTTTAATTAGACACAAGTGATACTAGGCTATCTTAGTCTTAGTCAAAGAGGCATTCTGTTCTAATATCGAACTCAACAAAAAATTAAAAACGCTTGATTACTATATGATGATTCATTTGATTGCTAAGATTCTCTTTATTCGATTATTAATTAAGCAAGAACTCGATTAGTTGTTTTAATTTCAGCTCTAGTTTCATCAAACTTAAAAGCCGTCATAGCTGAGTGGCTGTTTTGCTCGACATGTATCCACAGAGTACTGTATTCAGACTTCAGTACTACCAACCATGAAATGACCTAGGACACAGAATGTTTTCCAACTTTTCAATCGCTTTTGAGTCGAGATTATGTGCATTATGTTGATCCAAATGAGCTATGAATACCCTGAAAGGAGTTCATACCATTAGCTCATTGCTACGGAGATACTGCACTTTTTAAATGAAGACGGTGATCTGAAAATACTGATTTTCGAATTTCAACTTGAAACTTTGCATAGAGATAGGTCTTAATGAGAGTAGTTAATTATGAAAGTTTCAGGCTTTTTTATTTGCTCGTAATCTGAAATACGACCACAAAATCTGCCGGTTTATATTAGTGATGCACAAGACATACTATTACCATGATTGTATCGTACGACAGAAATAGCGACAACATCCGAAACATTCACAAAAAACTATTCTCGTTAAGGCCTGTCTGTATGTAAAGTTTCAAGTTGAAATTCGAAAATCAGTTTTTCTGGTGTTCCTAAGAAAGATCACGGCATTTATTTAAACAGTACTGTATATCTGTAGTATTAAGCTGAAAGCACGAGCTCTTTTCAGGGTATTAATAACTCATTTAGCTCTATATAATGCGCACAGTTTCTACTCAAAAGCGATTGAACAATTGAAGGATTCTTTCGTCGACTTATACTGGCGAAATTGTTTATTCAAATGGCTTCTTTTTATAATAATACAGTCTGTTCAGTTTAGTTTGGAAAGGCTTTAGCTTCAAGAAAGCATATACTGTTAGTAGTCTCAAAGCTCTGTACTATATAATGATTACATTAACAGAAAGGAGATACATTAATTACTGGAAGGAGTTGATTTTGAAGTTATAATCAAACTTATAAAAGCTCAAATTTAACAAAATACAACAATTTGGAAAAATCTGGAAATTGTTCGAAGAATAGATAAGGATTCGGAATTTCCTCTGTCACTTCGAGAAATCTAGCAACCCTGATTGGACAAGTCACTAATGACTTTTTGTCTCTAGTCACCCATCCAGTACGATACCAACTACCTTATGACATACACTTACTCTTGTGGTTAGTTAGTGTGTATGAAGAACACAAGAACTGTGCGTCAGACTGACCTTCTATCCAGAGCTACAGCTAGTATTAGTTGTAGGAAACATACTGAGTTATTGAATCTACCGCTAGGCAGTAATCCATACTGCAAGGTAACCGAAAGATAGGGGCATCCATTATTGTATTCTTGTCGAGAGTTTCAATACTCCTGTTAATACAATGATATATGTTTCTGTAGTTACTTATCAATATTCTCTTTCTTTTTAGGACTGGAAACTATATGTGAGTATTAATAAAAAAATATATATATGTGTAAATTATAATTATATGCTTTCATTGTTTAGCATTTAGTACACCATCAATACATCCATCACCTAGTAAGAATTAGTTTAATATTGAAAATTTGATTTCAAAATTTTACTTTTTGTTTTTAAGCAACACCATATCACTGTGATGATGAAATGGGTCTTCGAAATGGTCTTATTCCGACAAGTGATATATCTGTATCATCAAAAAAGGATCCTGATCAAATACTTGATACAGTTCGTATGGGCAATCCAAAACTTTGGGTTGCTGCTCGCAATGATTCAAAACCATGGGTTGAAGTTCGTTTTTCAAAAAGTAAAAATTTCTTTTTTAAATCAACGTGTCGTTCATATAAAAAGAATTCCTTATTTTATAGATAGTGCTAAAACTTTAACCGGTTTTCAAATTCGTGGAGAAGTAACAGAAATTCATATTCAGTATGATACAATTTCCCGTAAACAGATTGATTATGTCAAAAATGTTTGTACTTTTTTTATTTCATTTTTTTGATAAAAAAAAACCAATATGGTGTATTTAGCCTATTCGACGAACAGCAACATCATCATCAGCAATAAGTACAATTTATTTTGTACAGCCATTGGTTGATGTCCTTCGCATTCGATTAACGTTCGATCGAGCTTTATGTGAAACTGCAATGATGGCACAAATTGAATTATTGGGTTGCACAGAAGGTAAAAAAAATCAATATTAAATTTAAAAATCAAAAATATTATTCTTCGAATTAGCTTTAACAGTTTCTCCAGCTACTGCGGGAACGATGCCAACTGGTCCACAAATACCAATAACAATTATTGCTGCAACACCAAGTAGGATAAATAAACTAGTTCAATATTTCTTTCAATATAAAAAGACATTTTTCTAGCTACACCATATATATGTGATAGTGAAAACGTTCTTGCTAGTGGTGTTAGCAATAAAGCTGATGTACAAGTATTATTAAATAATAAAGTTGTAACAGAGAATGTCAAAGAAAATGGTCCAGGTATTGATTTGGATGATAATGACGACATAATAATACGTTTTTCAAAAATGCAAACAATTGATTCTGTTGATATTTTATCTGATTCAAATGTTAAATCTTATTCTATTTCATATACAAAATCAAATGCAGATGAATATATATTAGTAGAAGTAAATATAAAATTTGAATTTTCCTTTGTTGTTGATTATGAATTTTATTTTAAAATAGAATCAGAATAATCCGGAAACAATATTTAATCGAATTAGAACAAAAACAATTAAAATTTTACCAAGAACTAAAATAAGAAATCACTTACCTTATCATATACGTTTAGCCGTTTATATATGTGGAGAATTGGCAACTCCTATGACAGGTTTTAGGATAAAAGAAAAAAAAAAACTCAAATTAAAATAAAAAAATTTAATCTTATAAATTTAGGTACATCACCAGCAATAACTACTGAACGTTTTACAACTAGTAAGGAGAAATAAAATCGAGAGAATTGTTTTCATTTCATTGTTGTTTATAGAAAGCGCACCACACTATACTTTTACAAGTAGCACAGAAATGAGTGAGTATACATCTTTGCTTTATTTAACTCTGTCAAAACAAAACAAAAAAAAAAAAAAAAAAAAAAAAAAAATATATATATATATATATATATATTTATCTTCAGCATCGGAAAGTGAATCAGTAGAGGTAGCAGGCCCTGAAGGAGCTACCAAAACAAGTATGTTTTTTTTTATGGAAATAATTGGTCTAATAATCATTGATTAGAATCACCGAAATCGACACCGACAACTAGCCAAACAGGTTCATTGGCTCATACTCCAACTACAGCTAGCATTCCATCATCAAAAGGTACATTTGTTTTAAGTTTAAGAATCTATATTTCATAATTAAAATTACATACAGTATAGTGCAAAAACAAAGTTGCCGTTGATCTCTAAGAAAAATCTCCTGTCAGAAGTGATGAATTTGACATTGTTTCTTATTTACAAGATATTCACACAACAGACTATAAAAAAAACAGCAATCATTAATTGATTCTAGTTTTTTCCTAAAATAATAAGTTCCAAACATTTTCTTTTTATGGATGTCATCGAATAATTTATAGCTGACATTTCTACTCTTTGATATTGTTTGTACTAGAACTTGCCTAATTCCTCGAGATTTTGCTAATGTCAGCTTTAATGCATATCACTTTAATGATGAACTATGAACTTGTAGCTACGTTGAGTTCTACATTGTTCAATGGTCACTTGATCGTTTTGGACACCTATGGTTCTCAAATTTGCTATTGATAGACTCTTTGTATACTAATTAATTTGTCTTGTTGAAATGAACTCATTCGTCCAAATTGACTTACTTCTACGCAGACGAGATGACTTTGAAGAATTCGAACATATGAATCGGCTTATGATCTTGCAGAATAAATAGACTAAAACGTGAACCTTGCTACTAAGACCTCCTAAGTTCATTACTGTCTACTCACTGTTCGAAATCCTCCTAAATTCTCGCTGAGAATTTTTCGACTTACGGTAAATCCTAGTTTCTGATAACTGCTAGTAAGTTTCATCCGAAAGCACAATTGGGCTCTAGTTTACCTTCTTGAGCTGCGTCGTTCTCTGTATCTGGCTCAATGTGTCTTTTTATGTTAACATCAGCGCACCTCGAGCTACAATACTTCTTTATCTCACTAGATGAAGTTGTTGTTTCACTGTTCATCTAAGAACACCTACAGCATTTTGTTTCATCGCAGTTTCTCGTAACTCTCTTTAGCCATGATCGATTGTTTCTTCAAAATCGTTCTCTGAGCCCAATATTGTTCTTGGATATAATATTGCAATGTGGGTTATTACTCTCCTTATTGTTCGAACAATACCTATGTGAAATGTAGGAGAAAGACTTCTCGAAAGTTGAAATGTCGAACGGCAATTTTTTTTGCAGCCTACTATAATTAACTTTTGTTATATAATCTATATATCCAAATTGGAGAAAACTTTGTAAAAGCGATAAAAAATCTAATAATATTTTCAAATTATATTTTATACTCCTAATACAATAGTATACCTCTTTCATGCTAAGTACACTAGGAACTTCTTTGTTACCACTTTCATCAACTACTGAACAAAGTGCTCCAACAGCAGGTAGTAATTAGAGTCCTATTTTGCAAACGAAACTATACACGGAGTATCTCGAGCAATTGTATAATCAAATCTATAATTTCTGCTTCTTAGGTACTGTAAGAACCAGTACTGGTGCAACACATATATGTCCATTGGAAGAGGGTATGGGTCAACCTCAATATTTGTCAACACCTATAATCAATGGTGCACATTTTCCTTCATCACCGAACATCAATCCTGGTGGTGAAGGTGTTACATTTACATCAACAACTGCTGAAATAGCTATCGAATTGGCTCCATCAATCACACCTATTGTTGAATATGTATCAATTGCAGATGAAAAGATTACCAATGTCAAAAGAGTATCCGTTACAATTCTTGCATCTAATGGTTCAACTATTCAAACAATTGATTCACCACCTGGTAGTACTGTTGTCACTGGTTTTCCAGATACTCCATTACCAGCTGATTCAACATTACTTATTGCATTTCAAGCAGTAGATAAAGCGCCACCTCGTTCTATTACATTATCCATCATTGCTTGTTTCCATCCTGAACTAACAAGAACTGCTACTTCAACTACACCTCATTATTCAATCACTAAAAGTAAGGTTTTTTTTAAGATGATTTTGAGAATGTTTTCAAATACTCAGTTCATGATTATAAATAGCTACTGGCAATCAATTGTCTACACTAATTATTGACACTCGGAATAGGTTGCTAACAGCATATCTAATTTGATTTAACGATATGGTTGAATAAAAATATATACCTGTGACTACTACAAAAAGATGGAAAAATAGTAAACATTCTATATTTTGCTTCCACTTGTTAATTAGTTAAAATGAGAAAGAAATTATATCTACTAATGAATCTTTTTTTCAGCTGTATCAGATACTTCTTCTATAAGTTCGTCAACAACTGCAATGAGTGAGCATCCTATGAACGAAATAAAAGCAAAAATTGAGGGTGAATATAATTAAGTAGCCCTTCGCAAAAAATCAATAATTGATTGTCTTTAATTAGAAATGCCACTCTAAATTATTTTAGATCAATTTCGGTTTGTCAAAAATCAAGATCCAGAAGAAATTTTCTATCGACAAATGAGCCTAAAACGCGATTTAAAAAATGCAATATTTTACATTGCTATTCTTCCATCTCTTTTAAGTTTGTTCTATAATATGTCCGGATAGAATAAAACTTTTTTGCACTGTTTTGGCGAACATATTTTTATTTGTTTTGAGAATGAGTAACAAATAATGTAATAATAGCCCACGAGTTAATTCATTGCACTGTACAATATAAGAGTCCGTTATACTATTCCTCATTTTGACAACATTTTCTATTGTTCTTTGGCAAATGAAAACAAAAGTTTTCTTGGATAAATACGTACTTGTTGAAATGAACAGCGATAAGTTTGAAAAATTTCATAAGAAGAATTACTCGAACTGAAAGAATTTTTACTTACAACTTACAAATCAATCTGGAGTATCTCACATGTGTATATTTCAGCTTCTCAATAGAAATACTATTGAAATACCACTTTTCTATTTTAATTTGTCTATCTATTGAATGTTTTTATTTAAGAAAAATGTTCTAAATTTTCGTTTCAGCTATTTAAAACCTATCACTATTTGAACATTACCAGGATAAATTAATGATTGTCTTTTACTTTTTAAAGATTAAATCGATAGTAATACATTGTCAAGCACAAAATCACGAATATAATCTATTTTCATATTCTCACAAACCCAAAGACAGATTACCTTTATTTTGAGTATTCATATGTGTTAATAATCAATCATTATCATTCAAAACGAATACTTTAGTACAAAATTTTATATTAATTCTCTTTGTCCTATTCTATCCAACTTCATACACTATTACCATTAAATTAAGGAAGATTTCATTAAAAATTTCATAAACAAAGAAAATAACGTGAAAAACAAAATTATCCAGATGAAAACCAAAGTTACTTGATCCAAAACTAATCACAGATCTCGTTCTCGACGGATACAAATATTTAGTTTATAGTGCAAGAATTTTTAAATACACCATAAATTTTAAATGCAACTCATTATCAGAACTTCAGAGAGCAATCTCTACACTACAATGCGAGCACTCACAATAAATATTTAAAATTTTCTGATATAGATAGCTACTGCCATTAGTAAAATATGGCAGAAAAACTTCAGAAGACAAAACATTTTAGGAAGCTACACCCTCAACAATATAAAAACTTGCTCAAACTTGACTGTGAAAGAGTCGCCTAGGCAAGATAGATCACGCTTATGAATAACATACAAAATTTGAAATATAGAGTGTATTTCTCGTAAGATAAAAGACAAATCCATATCACAGACATCCCAATATAAATACAGTTATCATATTAAGAGTAATATACAAGAAGCAAACTTAGAACTTACTATAAATTTAAAACAATAACTTTTCTCGGATAGCGATGGCACAAATGATAAGGCTGCTATGCTTTCCTGACTGAATTCAATTTTCTTTCATGAACGTCATTACAAATCATTCATTGAGTACGACAATTATGTCAATTGACTTCTCTTGTGTTTTGTAAGACAATATATTATAACTCATTATCATGAATCGTCTCCTACTCAACTGTTCTTTTGGCATAAAACTCATTCAGTTTAAATGTTTTTCCATTTTTTCCTTAGTTTGTCGAATCTTTTCGCATCATACTAATATAGTCTCTAAATCTTAATATATACCTTGCGTATTCAACTTTTCGAAACCGATGTATAGTAGATGTAACATTATAATTTGGATTCATGTCAACGAATTTATTCGTATTGGCTGTCTCTTCCAAAGTGTAAGGATAATTAATCTCGAAATGTTATTTTTCATCGTAATGATCAATCTCATTGTCAGTTTTCTTTTTTATCAGTAATCTAAGGTTCACCAGTTGTTTCATTATTTTCATTCTCGAATTCGATAGTTCGACAAATATAAAATAAAAAATACCAGTCTTGTAATAATTGCCCGGAACCAAAAACAATTTTGGTCAGCATATCTGCTAACAAGTTTGAAGCCAAAGTATGCTTCCGCTGAATGAAGAAGATGCTTCGGGATGTTTCTAAAATCCTTATTTTTTTTTTCAAAATACAAAACAGAGCGTTCTCAAGCGACCATTGTAGTACAGAATGAGAGTTTATATTACTTTCAAATAACAATGGATTCGAAAGTCTTTGCCGGAATCACACATGAACAATTTCTATACAACTGCTATTTACTGTCAACCAGTTTTCCTAATATCTTAAATCTTCTATACACAATATCACCATCCCAATTGTCGTAACAACTCCAGAAAATCACACTGACGCTATTCATCGGATATTTCTTTCTTTCGTACTTGTAGTCTCGCGTTTTACCTCAACCTCATTTCTAACAATACAATAAATATCTGTTGTTAGTTCAATATGACTGAAGTTTCACTAGAAACTGAGGCCAGTATAACTCTTATGCGGTAGAAAAACATGGGCAAGATTCTTATGACACTCTATCAGAATCATCCAATAACTCTGTTCAAAATGTAACTCACCGGTTCTCATACTTCCACGTTTGCTCGCAATAAGACGCAAAAACCTAAAATCGTATCTAAATAGTCAACATGAACAACTTATAATTGAAATAAGTTAAATAGACAGTAATTGAAATAAATTCATCTTATTTTAATCAATGCCTGATAGTTCCATTACTGAATTTCCATGTTGAATTTCATAACTAATAATAAAGTCGTTAATCCTATAATCTATTTAATGGCATATCAACAACAAAACCATTCTTTGCATTTTCAGCTGCTACAATCTCGGGAGAAACTACTAAATTCATTAGTAGTTCATTTGCATCCACCCCATCGTCTACGTTCACAACATCTTCGACGAAACCAAGTAAAATAAAAATTCATGATAGCCAAACCTAACACGCACGCTCTTTGTTATTTTCTAGCTCTTCCAACTACGCCGCACGCATCACCTGAACAAACTCGAAAGACAAGTGAACATATGACAACAACTATGATCTGTCCACTCAAAGAAGGTATGCATTCTCGATA